TACTAATGCATGAAAATCCTAACCTCAAAAAAATCACCCATTATAAGCGATAAATCTGCTTATTTTTTTTTTGTCACTTGAAAAGGTATTTACAGTACATAAGTGTGTTAGTAGATGTTAATGAAACTGTCCTAAACAACTTCTGAAGCATTTAAAAGACAATTACAAATATCAAATACAGAATATCAGCAGAAGTGTACAAATGGTTAGTAGTTGTAGCCAAGCATCGTATAAAAAAACACGAAATTTAGCCAAAGCAAAAAAGCTGCACAGAAATGACAGAAGGTCCACTGTGTGATCCGCTTCTTATTGTCGCAATACTGTAACCAAATCATAGAAAAACGATTATGTTCATGTTAGCATAAGGAAGATTAAAAACTTCCAAACGGACCCCAGTAAATGCACCATGTGATAAATTTTGCAGGGCTTACATTCATACAAAGAGAGGCAAGTCTCAACATATGTCACATATTCTCAGTCAGACCATTTTCATGAATATTCCACCAAAAAACGCAAGGATTTGTACTACTCTTTATGCACACTTTTGCCGCCAAGTCCGGATATTAGAAAGAGCTAAAAAGATAAAAAGTAAAAAATAAAAATAAATTATGAAATCCTACGAATAGAACTTCTATATAACTAGGAAACGCCTCCGAAGCTTCAGAAAAAAGATGACATTGCATCGAAATCCGAGCTCTGCTTATCACCTTGAATCGTTTCCACGACAGCTGGGTCTCCGTAATCAGAACGAACCAAATTTGTGTAGTATCTAGCCATGTACAGTCCCTCTAGCAGCATTCCTCAAAATTTCTTGGTTAAATAACTCGAAAAGTCTACTTTTTAGGTAAAATACGTTTTTTGTCCTTCTATTTCAGAGAAGTATAATTATTTTTTGTTGATGAGCATTAGAAAGCTAACGAAAAAATGCAACATTTAGGATAAAACTCCAAGTATATACATACGAACATGTATGTGATTTTTAGCAAACGCTGTCACTAGCGTATTATATGGATTGCTGCACGGCTAAGAAAAATTTTTGTTCTTTTCATTTCATCGACATCTTTGGCGACTTTTGATCTGGGGATTTCCCTGTACGGACTGCAAAACAAAACGCTTTCCTCGCGCTCTCAATTTACTTGGGCATCCAGAGCGCGACTTGTACCCAGTACGCATAAACTACGTGTTAAATAATTACAAACTTCCTGACAGGGAAGTCTAAAAAAAATCTAAAAACTGGCATTAAGCAAAAAATGGTTGCCGTTTCGGACAGTGTAATCAAATACATTGGGGCGTATTCATAGTCAAAATAAAGTCGACACTAAAGTTAGATAGTTTTTGCCATAATTTTCAATGCACTATGTGTCAAACAAGCTGCAAGTTACTTTAAAATCGATTTTACTTCGGCTATGAATATGTCCCATAAGGCCTACAGGTATTCAAATAATTAATCACAGATAACACAATATACATACATATGCACTTGTTTTGTTGAAGTTGGACCTTTTAAGGTACAATTCATTTATTTATTGATTACTAACATAATATACATAAGTGTGTTAGCACAGTTTACCAACTAAAATATTTTCTAATAAGTTATATTTACTTATATTCTAACATAAATCAAGTAAGCTGATTCCAATACAATAATTAAATTAATATACAAAAAATAATATCTCTTGTCTTATCCCACAGCCGCTTTCAATTCTCTTAACTTCTAGCGGGTTAACTAATAGTCACCGATTCTTATAGCATTTTTTCCATAGCATCAGGGTCTGATCTTCAAATTATTCATAGTAGTATAACGAGGGACAAATTCGACTTTTAAATAGCCGAAAAAGAAGCTTCATCTTTGGATGTTTACCCCAAAAGTAAAATAAAGTAGGTTCCAAAACCGGAAGAATAAGTAACAAGTTCTTAAAAATTATAACGTTTTTATTATTTGTTGTTTTATTATATTCCACTGTCGTGCACTGATCAAACGTTATGAAAATTCCTGACTAATTGAAGAAGTGAAAGTATTAAATAATTTCGATTTTCTTTTTTATAAGCTTAACATGAGATGATTTTCAACATATCCAAGCGCTTTTTTTAGACATTCGTTCGTAGCATCAAAAAACGAAAACAATTTAATTATTTTAATTAACATAATTCTATGAAAATATTTCATGTTTGTCTTTTGCTGATATATCCAAACTATATAATTTTAATTTTATATTCTGATACTAAGAAAACAAAAGTCTTTTAGAAATCAGCTCCCGAAACCTCTTCCGCTCTTTGTAGATCAGTGTTATTGATGTTGTCTCCTAAATCTCTTATTCCTTTTAGAAATGTGAAACCAATTTAGTCCTCGTGTGAGATGATGTTCTCGCGTTATTTTGATATGCGATATGTGTATAAATATTTCGACAATCAAAGGAATTATAACATTTTTATAAAACTTTTGAAAATATATACACCCAACGACAATGGCATACCATACCGGTCGCATAGGTTAGATTTATAATAATAGATTTGTATACCAGACGATATATGGGATCCTTAGTAGCTTTATGTTTTTACGGAGCTAAGTTTTTCATATTTTAGTAGGTATGTACCTATAAACACATCGTCGTTTAAAGTACAAACCGCGTATCGTCATTCTGCAAAGGCGCGTAATTGATCGATTGTTATCGATTTATAAAACTAGCCTGAAAGGGGTTTGCTTTATAAAAGAGAAATGTTTTAAATAAAAGAGAGTTTATACTGTACAATTTAGGCAACCTTACTCAATCATTATTTTTTAAATTTTATCCAAAAAAATCAACAAGTTTTAATCGTCGTAAAACAATTTTATTTATACCCACGTATTTGTTTTCGTACGTCCCACTGTAATTTACAGTGATTTTTATTTTTCGAGTTTAACCAATAAAGATTTAAAAATAATAATTAATATTTGGGTTTTAATTTTTCGCTCAAAAGTAATTATTATTACTTGATTTTTATTTTTTCGATCAAAAATAATGATTACTTTATGATTTTTATTATTTCGCTCAAAGATAATAATTATTATTGAGTTTTGTTTCTTTCACTTAAAAATAATGATCATTCAAAAAAATCAAAACCTATACCAGCGCGATTTCCGCCGTATCCTTTTCAGAGCGGGCGACACCATAATAAAGGAATAAGCCTCGAAATTTTCAGGTCAAAATTTCAGTAAGTTGCGTCTGTATAGCCTTTTCAATTTTATGAATAATCATTATTTTTAAGTGGAAAAATAAAACTCAATAATAATTATTATCTCTGAGCGAAAAAATAAAAATCATAAAATAATCATTATTTGTGATCGAAAAAAAAAATAAAATAATAATTATTTCCGCTGAGCAAAAAAATAAAAATCAATAATAATTATTATTTTAGAGCGAAAAAAATAAAACTCATAAAATAATGATTAAATGCTGATTTAA